GAGTTAAAGAAGCATGAGAGTTTCTGAGCAGGGAAATAATTAGGGGAAAAAGGTCCCTAGCCTTTTCAGTAAGGGTGGGTTAGAGAGGAGAGCTGGCAGACACTGGGAGAGTACCACTGGGGCACAGAGAGACAGGAAATATCGGAGAGAGATGGAGTGTAGCTGGGATGATAATGGGTTTGATTTGGGGCAGGCTGGAACATTGGGGACACATGGGGCCAGGATGGAAAACAAATTTCAACCCTCAGTCCAGGGTACTTCCACCCCGCTGCCCTCGCATGACTCACGTCTGAGTCTTCCTGTGCCGGGCATCATTCTCAGTGCTGCAAGGCTCACCACCACTAAGCTGCCCACCTTCACTTACAGGTGAGGAAAAGGAGGCACAGAGAGGACCAGTGACTTGCCCAAGATCACACGGGCAATAAGAACAGAGGCAGGATTTGTACCGGGCAGTCCAGATCTCAAGAATGTGCTGACAACCACCAGCCTGTTTGTCTTCCTGTTTCTCTTACTAGACTTTGTATGTGCACATATAGAAGGGTGGGGAAAGGAGAACAAACAAGTGACAATTAAAAGACAACATAAACATTAGTAACAGGACAGGTAGCAGTGTATGAAGAGGCAGAGAAGAGCCACAGGACTTGGATTTCTAAGGGAGAAAGTACAAGCAACATCTGGGAATTAATGAGGGAGTACAGGGGGTTACATGTGAGCGAGCAGGACTCTCCAACCCCAATCCTAGTTAGTTCCTGGTCCTGAAGGTCTGGTTGTGCTTTTCTTTTGTCCTTAGCTCCAGGCCAGTTCTCTGGAGCAGGGAGTTCTCTAGCCAGGTGAGATGTTTGTTCTGAATAATGCAAATTGTTCCCTGCCCCGAACGGGCAGTGGGAAACGAGTTCTAGATATGTGAGACTCCGGGCCGGCCTGTGGCTCACTCGGGAGAGTGCGGTGCTGATAACACCAAGGCCATGGGTTTGGATCCCACATAGGGATGGCCGGTTCGCTCACTGGCTGAGCGTGGTGCTGACAACACCAAGTCAAGGGTTAAGATCCCCTTACCAGTCATCTTTTTTAAAAAAAAAAAAAAAAAGATAGATATGTGAGACTCCGCATGTCTCTGGCCAGCCCTTTGTGGGCCACAGGGCTGGACTGCCAGAACCCAGATGAACTATCATAGGACTCTGCTGAGACCACATGCATGGTCAGCCACCGCAGGCTGCAGAGCAAAGGGATCCTACTTTTGTGGATTGTAAAGAGAACCACACTCTGAGAGGACACAGTAGATTTATGCAGGAAGAAAGCTTCATTTGGGCAGAGAAACTGTGACAGGGGCTGGGGCAGTGGCTGGATTTAGCAGGGTGAGGGGGTTTAGAAAGGCAACTCACCGCTTCCTCATCTGAAGCAGGGTGACTAGTCTTTGCTAAATAGTGAGAGGTGTCGCCTTAAATCCTCTCTGGAAGGAGATGGGCACAAGTCAACATAAAAGTACAGTAAACAAATTGGTAAACAAATGCTCCTTGCCTTACAGTGGGGCTATGTTAACAATTAACAGTTAAGTTGAAACTATTGTTAAGTCAAAAATGCATTTAATACACCTAACCTACTGAAATCATAGTTTAGCCTGGCCTACTTTAAGTGTGCTCAGAACACTTAACATTAGCCTTCATCTAACACAAGCCTATTTTATAATAAAATGCTGAATATCTCATGTAATTTATCAAATACTGTACTGAAACTGAAAAACAGCATGATTATATGGTACTTGAAGTGTGGTTTCCACTGAATGTAAATCGCCATCTGCACCATTGCAAAGTTGGAAAATCATGTCAAACCATCGGAAGCTGGGGTCCGTCTGTAAAATTCGTGTCAGACTAACGACTCTGAGGTTGTAATATTGGCCTACCGCCTCTCTCTCTGCCTGAACTTCCTGCACATTCCTGAAGTCCTGACTGCTCAGAACTTGGTCTTCAAGCTCCTCACCTCTCTCTTCAGAGAAGGCAGGTTAGGCCAGGATGGAGACTCCTTATCACTGTCCCCCCCGAACATAAGAGCTGGGACTTTTCCAGCGAGTGCTTCCTCTGGCCCAGGCACAGTTCTAAGAGCTCTATACATCTTAACTCATGACCTGCTTATAGTTGCCTCTGAAGCAGTTCTGAGAAAAACAAGCAGGAAGCCAAATGCAACCACAGTGAAGCTAAGGGAAACTGGAAGCAGACCTGAGACATACAGAGCTGCCCTTGCCTGGCGTACTAGCCGGGCAGGCACCGCCAGTGTCTTCACGTGGCCAGGAGCGGGGGACTAGGCTTTTACAAAACTTTATCTCAGGGGTTGGCCCGTGGCTCACTCGGTAGAGTGCGGTGCTGGTAACACCAAGGCCCCGGGTTCGGATCCCATATAGGGATGGCCGGTTCGCTCACTGGGTGAGCGTGGTGCTGACAACACCAAGCCAAGGGTTAAGATCCCCTTACCGGTCATCTTTTAAAAAGAAAAAAAAAAAAAAACTTTATCTCAGCCTAAGGGTCAGAGTGGGCCTTCATTTCACCAGATAAGCAGGAAAGTGGAATCCTTCTGAGCAAGAACAGTCCCCTAATCCATTGCTTATCAAGGTGGCCAAAATCTGTTAAGAAAAACCCGTACTACCTAAGCCCACTTCCCTTCCTGCGAAAATGGCCAAACCTCAGCAGTACCACTTCCCCACACTGACCCTGGGCGGGGCAGGAGAGGCAAGTCAGGCGCTCATCTGCAAGCCCAGGAGCAAGAGCCTCTGAGGCCTGAGCCCAGCCTGCCATGGTCACATGATCCACTAGGCCTCTCCTAAAGCTTTGTTCCTGCAAGCTATGGATTCTGTAACAGCTGGTGACTGGGCAAGGGACATCAGAGTGGACAAGGGCAGCATGCCTCAGTGAGCTGATGGCTAGATGGCCAATGGAGCCAGCAGCTGAACAGGTGGGGCCGGAGGTAGCCGGCATTCTCTGAGGGACAGGGACCAAAAGCAGCAAGCAGCTCCCCAGGCCAAGAGCCTCCGCAGCAGTGGAGGGCAGGACAAGCCCACCTGGGCTCTTTTCTGTCCTTCTATTCTAAGGACAGTTGCACCTCAACATTTGACACCAATATTTTTCCATTTTCAATTGGTGGACTTATTTCAGCCCCCGACACTCCCAAAAGGAGGTGACCAGGCAAAGATTGGGGGGAAGCGGTGGGTTGACATTAATTGATAGGAGTGGCTCCGAGCAGTTCATGCTGCCTTATCTCTCTCTCCTTTGGATAGCGTGTGTCCGCCAGAGTCCGCGGGGTCGGTGATTAATAGGGGCCATCACTCACTGTCCGGGACGGCTGAAAGGCAGCAGGGAGGGGGTGGCCCTCCCCAGAACTGAGATAACAAGCAGCAGGAATAATGAGTGGTGTCACTCCACTTTTCATTTTGATGGAAAGTCATTACGGGAGTCAACGCCAGCGACAAAGAGCCATGAATCAACTGCTCTGCTATGAAATTAAAATCGAATTGCTGGCCACCCCAACCCCTACCCTTCCTGGGAAATGGGGATGCGTAGGTAGCTTGGGAGAGGGGTGCTATCCCGGGGTGGGCTCTATCCAATCAGAGCAGGCAGTTATGGGCAGGAAGTGGACAGGCAGCTAGTGAAGGTGACAACTCCTGTCTCCACCTTGTTTATCAGACCCTTCCTCCCTAAACCGCATTTTCACTCTGCCTGGAGGTAAGCTGTGATTAAAAGGAAAGTACGGATTTGCTGGCTCCAGCAAGGCGGCTGCTTGACTGCTCCCCCTGGGCTTCTGGCCTGAGGGGGGCAGCCTGGGCCTGGTTATGGAAAGGGGCCCAGCTGACACGGCCATCCCAGAGCCCCTTGCTAAACCATTTGCAGATATTAATCTGGGGCCCTCCTTGTGACCAGGAGCAAAGAGGGAAAGTCCTTAACCTGGAGCTCCACAGTGACAACCGATGGCCCAGGGAGTCTGCCTAGATCAAGAATCCCATGAAAACAGACTCTGCCTGGAGGTAAGCTGTGATTAAAAGGAAAGTACGGATTTGCTGGCTCCAGCAAGGCTGCTGCTTGACTGCTCCCCCTGGGCTTCTGGCCTGAGGGGGGCAGCCTGGGCCTGGTCATGGAAAGGGGCCCAGCTGACGCGGCCATCCCAGAGCCCCTTGCTAAACCATTTGCAGATATTAATCTGGGGCCCTCCTTGTGACCAGGAGCAAAGAGGGAAAGTTCTTAACCTGGGGCTCCACAGTGACAACCGATGGCCCAGGGAGTCTGCCTAGATCAAGAATCCCATGAAAACAGGGGCATAGCCTTAACTTCAGGCCCAGAGTAGCAGTATGAGTATAAGTACTATTGTTTATTATAGTCTTTTCCTCTTTTTTTAAGTCCAACTAGACGAACTAGAAGCAGCAGCTGTGGTTACAGGCAGACGGCCACATGGCCAATCAACACAGCTTCTGGAAAAGAGACCAGTAAGTGCCAAGGTCACAATCGTAATAACTTCGTATAGCATACATTATACGAAGTTATACGATCCAGCACCAGGGGTGGGGCCGGTCTGACCAGCAACACAGTTCCTAACTAAAGACACTTTGGTCACAGCTCTAGCATGCTCTGACAGGTGAGGTCTAAGGAATTCGGAATTCTCCCAGACTTTTTTTGTGTGTGTGTGGCAGGCCACTACAGGGATCTGAACACATGACCTTGGGGTTCTAAGGCTGCATTTTAACCAACTTAGCTAACCGGCCAGCCTGTCCCAGACTTTTTTTTGTTTTTTGTTGTTTTGTTTTTGTCTTTTTGTCTTTTTCCGTGTCCGGCAACGGATTGCAACCCTCAGTGTCGCCCCCGCACCAGACCGGGGACCGGCAACGGGACCGCAACCCTCGGTGTCGCTCCCGCGCCTCGCTCAGCCAGTGAGCTGTAACCGGCCTGCATGTGGGATCCGAACCCTCGGGCGGGAGCGCCGCCGCGCTTCCCAAGCGGCGCACTATCCAGTGCGCCACCGGGCCGACAATATCATCCCTGGCTGTCCCACTTCAATCCCAGAGGCTGAGAAGACGTGGAGAGTGTCACAGAGAGGTTCCCATCAGGTTCACGGGGCGCCCGTTGTACCTCTTAGAGATGTCAGCTTCAATCTGAAAGACAGCGATAGCAAGTGGGAGGGAAGCAGAGAGGCGCAGGGTCCTCGCTCTGCAGAGACTGGGACCTCCCACCGGCAGGTTCCCCTTTCTCATCTTACCAGCTTCTGCAGCTCCCTTGTCTTCTCCAGCAACAGGTCTAACTTGGGCTCCAGAGCTGCCTGCTCCTGAAGCGCCTCCTGCTGCTTCTGCACCATCAGTTCTTTCTTCAGGGCCAGGAGCTGGGACTGCTTCAGCTTCTGCTGGAGGAATTCCGTCACTCGGTCCACATACCTGTGCAGGGCACTCAGGTGAGTGTTTGGTGTAGCTGTGCACCCTGAGCATTCCCATTCAACTGCTGGAAAAGGTGAAGCTTGGTAAACCAAATCCCTGATTGGCCTCTCACCTGCACATCCTTAAATCTTTTTTTTTTTTTGTATAAGGAATACGCACTCTGGTATGCAGATTCTGCCTGCATACTTCAAACCACCCCATCTTGACCCAAGAGAGCCCCCAGTAGAAGGTGATGTCCAGAGGCAGGGATGAAGTGTTAAGGGGTCCCAGAAGAGCTCAAGATGGCAGGGTCTGCATCAAGGGGAAAGCCAGACCTTGGGGAGGCCAAGATCATAAACAGGTGTTGCATTCGAAGATTGGTGAGCTGGCCAATCAGATCCTGTAGCACTGACACCATGGTAACCATCTTCCCTTTGGTCTGGCCCTGCAGGATGGCTGGAGCCAGCTGGAACTGGCTCACGGACAGGATGTCTGCCTCCTCACTCATCTCCACTGCCCTCTGGGACAAGAAGATCTCGAGCTGAGGACGGAAGAGGAATTGGTTCAGACTGATAAAAGAACGTCAGAAGCTAAGCCCTCAGACTGCTTGAAATGCAAGAACGAGAAGTGAGGGCTAGATTCTGGGTGAGGAGGCTTTTTCCTCCGAAAGCTTTTATTGCTAGAAACTCATTGACTACAACGTGAGAGCGCAGGGCAGCCACTCTTCAGCACCCCATTCCCATCTCAAGCCTACCAAGCTCTGGACCTCCATCATTCCTCCCCAGCCCGTGGAGCAGATAACTAAGAAAACAGAGACTCAAAGGGTTCTCTTTACTCCAGTGAGATACTGATTTTCTCTCCATGGGAGGAATGAGCTTCACAGACCAGGAATCCATGTTTGAGCTCTGGATTAAGAAAAGACTAGAAAGGGCCGGCCCGGTGGCGCACTGGAGAGTGCGCCGCTTGGGAGTGTGGTGGCGCTCCCGCCGAGGGTTGCGATCCCGTTACCGGTCAGTAAAAAAGACAAAAAGGGAAAAAAAAAAAAAACATGTTTGAGCTCTGGATTAAGAAAAGACTAGAAAGGGCCGGCCCGGTGGCGCACTGGAGAGTGCGCCGCTTGGGAGTGTGGTGGCGCTCCCGCCGAGGGTTGCGATCCCGTTACCGGTCAGTAAAAAAGACATAAAGGAAAAAAAAAAAAAAAAAAGAAGAGACTAGAAAGAATAGGAGAACCAGCTACCTATCTTGTTAATCTTATTCTGCCATAAAAACTTGACACCCTTTGCCCTCCTCTCCTCTTGAGGCTAGGAGGTGTCTCCCTGAGCAGAAAGAGGAGGGAACTGAGTGAGGACTGAGAATCTTCAGCAGGCCAGTGGGAAGGGAACAGACCCAGAGATTAACAAAGACAGGCCCCCATCTTCCCAGTTCCATAACGAAGGTCCAAGAACATGGGCCCCTTACTCTGGGCTGCCCAGCACCTTAGCCACAGGGACCGTATTTAAACACAAATGAGATCACGCTGCTCTCAACCTGCTCAAAACCTCCAACAGCTTCCTGGTTCACTTGGAGTCAAACCAACGTTCAGACTCTCTCTCTGAGCCCTTCCACTCACCACCCCCTCCAAGCTCCTTCTGCTCAGCCACACTGGCCTCCTTGCTGCTGGTCAAACGTGCAAGGCACATGCCCACCTCGGGGCCTTTGCAGCTACTCCCTCAGCCCGGGAAGCCCTCCTGCCAGACATCTGCATGGTGCTCTCTGCACCACCTGCAGTCTGGACCTACTGGTCACCTTCCCTGACCACCAGATACAAAAGCATAGCCCCTCCCAGGAATCCTGTCTCCCTCCCCTGCTTTCTTTTGCTCCTTAGTATTTAGTACCACCTAACATACTGCATCTTTTACTTATTTATCTTGCTTCTTCTCTGCCTTCCCCACCACAATATAAGCTCCATGAGGTCAAGGACTTTGACTGTTTCATTCACTACTCAATCCCTGGTGCCTAAGATGCTGCCAGGTGCTTAGGAGGTACATGATAAATATTAATTGAATGAATGGGTGTATACTGATACGTGAGGCTCCTGTTCCAGAACATGGAACACATTCAGCACCATTCACACAACAGAAAGGGTCAATGTAGGTGTCTGGAGCGATGCCACCTGTGTTGGTATCAGGCCTCCCCCACATCTCCCAGAGATGACAGTACCTCCATGAGCTCATCAATGAACTGATTCCGAGTCTCAGGGTATTCAAGAAGTGTCAGAGCGTCTGAGCCCCTGGCAACACCTTCTGGAGCTGCCAGGAAGAGAGACAGAGAAGTGACATATCTGAGGACTAGAGAAGGAAAAGACCCTTAAGTTTGAGATGCCCTTGGTGGATTAATATGGACAGAGATAGTGTACTGAAGCCAAGTCCTGTCCCAACCCAGGGGGAAAGTTACCCTTTCCCATGTGTCTCAGCCTTAATCAGGCACTACTGCCAAGGCCCAGCCTATGAAGAGGGACACAGAGCTGCGTTCAGAACAGCAGAAAGGCCAGTTTGGCTCTCAACTTGGTGGGCGGCAGGAGGTAAAGTTTCATCCTGCAATGCCCTCTAGTGGCTCACACTGCTACATCCTTTCTGCTGGTGGGAAGCGGGGGAAGGGGGTCAGGTCAGACTTCAGGGCCCACCGACCCCCCTGGAACCCTCCCACAGAAGAGCTGGCCCACATTTGATCTCTAAAAAGTTGAGAGTTTCTAGACTTAATTTCGAGAATTCTCCCTGTCCTCCTCCACTCACAGTCTCATCAAGATTTTGAGAAAGTTAAATGTGGGAGAAACCTAACTCAGTACTGCATTTTTTCTGTTTCTAGACATAGGGCCCTTGAGCACCTGACCTTTGCCAAGGCTGCAGGGGACAGTGCACTTACCCTGGGTTCCTGCTTCCAGCACTGTGATCTGCAAAGCAGCAGCATTGTCTCCCCAGTCTATCTCATCACCCCCTGGCTCCTAGATGGAAGAAGGACCCCAGCAATGTCGGGAGAAGTTCCCCGAGGCAAGGGAGCCGAAATAAACTCCAGCCCTTGGTAAGTTCAATGACTGCACACTCCAACTGCATTAAGGACATGCAGCCCTGATGCAGGTGACAAAGATGGCAGTGTGGGCCCATTTATGTTGCTGCCTCTTCCCTGCTTTGTAGAGTCACCACCTGCCTATATCACAACACCTTGCCTCACACACCAGCAGAAGGGAGGACAAAAGTCTGACATGTCACTTTTGAAACTCTGTCTCCTGGGACTACATCTGGTCTTAGAACTATGAACTTCAAGTGACACCTTTACAGACACAGACAACACTTTCCTTATGGCTGAAGCAGCAATCACAGAAGTCCTCAGAGAGACGGGCCAAGAGGGCATTCTAACCTTTGAGTCTGATTCCAGGGGGATGTGCCAGTCAATTGCAGCTACCTCAGCAGAGATGCCGGAGTCAGTACCCTCGGAAACCGCCTCTACCCCAAAGTCACCCCAGTCAATCTGGAAAGGGAAAAAGAGTGTCAGCTTGCAGAAGGTGGGTTAAAAAAAAAAGGGAGGCCCTGCCTTCCTGCAGGCCTCAGATGCTCCTGCAGGAAAGCACACATTCAAATGCAATGGCCTCCAAGCTCCCCACAAGAGATCCCATCTTCAGAGAGCTCATGTGACTGAGGGTTCCTAGTTCAAAACCAACCAGCTTGCTGAGCCTCTTCAGCACTCATCTATACACTGGTCTCAAAGTCAGAAAAATAAAGGAGTAGGGCCCAGAAGGGGCCCTTCCACCTATAGTCTTTCTCACAGAAAACCCCCTTCTTCCTTCTGGGATCTGAATTCAGGTCTTAGGGTTTGGGCTATGGTGGGAGAGGAGCAGCAGCTCTCACTCAGCCCCCAGTGTTTCTGCGGAGGGCGGCCCACACAAGTCACATGAGGCTTGTCTTACCGCATCTTCTTCCACCTGCTCAGGAGGCTCCTCAAGGTGTGGTCGCTCCACCACCAACGGCTCTGTCCCCGTCCTCCATTCATACACTGTTGAGTTTCCCCGCTTCTGCACGAATCGCAGCATCGGCAACACCTGCTCGGTGGGGCTTCAACAGGACACAAAACTGACTCCCCTGCTGAGCACTCCTGAAGCCAGCACTGGGCTTCAGCTTCGGCTACATGGTCAAGCGGGCAAGGCTCCCATGGGTTCAAGTGTGTAAAATAAAGCCCAAATGTTACATAGGAAAACACGAGTGGAGAATAGCGAAGGGTCACAGGAGAGGCACACCCTACCCCTGCTGGAGAGAAGCTGACGTCCTTTTTACCTTTCACATACAAACTCCACACAGGCCTGGTACAGGTCGATGGCTTCCCCCAGGCACTGAGCCCCTGTCCCAATCTCAACCAGTTGACTGGGCAGGTCCTTCACTAGGGCCAGCAGTTCTCTTCGGACATTGTCTCCCTAGAGAGGGTAGAAGAGGGGGGCTAAGACAGAAGTGGTGGGAACAGATTAAAGAAAACATCAAAAGACTGAAGACAGGCGAGAGAGACACTGGCCCAAGAGAGGTCCAAGCCAGCTGAGAAGGGAGTCTTGCCCAGCAGCACAGGATCAGGCCCAGGAAGGCAGACAGGGGCCCCAGGAACAGATTAAAGAAAACATCAAAAGACTGAAGACAGGCGAGAGAGACACTGGCCCAAGAGAGGTCCAAGCCGGCTGAGAAGGGAGTCTTGCCCAGCAGCACAGGATCAGGCCCAGGAAGGCAGACAGGGGCCCCCCACTCACCGTGATGCCGTACTGCTTGCAGGAGTGGTAAAACTGCTCCCGCATCGCAGCAGCCCCTGCCTGGCCCTCCTCCTCCTTGCGGCTGTATTCTTGCTGTAGCTGCTGGCACTTGGTGATCTGCTTCTTCAGTGAGGGTATCTCATAGTTGACGTTCCGAACCAGAAGGCTAGAGAGTTCCACTGGGAAGGGCCCAGGAAATTCACCCCAGGACACCCACACCCTAAGGCAGGCATGCCCCAGGGTTCACACCAATATACCCTTGTGAGGTGGCGAAGGGCATGGGGTTCCCCTTCCTAGCTGTGGAATCTAAGACAAGTATTTAACTTCTCTAACCCAACCCTCATCTATAAAGCAGGGACAATAATATTTACGTGAGGATGAACAGAGAATCCATACAGAACACCAAGCACAATTCCTTGCATTGAGTAGGTGCTTGGTAAATATTCGCTATTATGATTATACTATTCAAAAATACAACCCCAACTACCATCAGCCCTTTAGTTGCTCTCTCTTTGGCACCTGATATGGCCTCAGGATGACCCCTGCCTCTTCTGCCTGGTAGAATGGGGGTGCTGGGGGGTGGGGGCAGCATACTCCACGTAAACAAGAGGTGACTAGTGGAAGACCCACACCCACCAACTTGGTCAGGCACAGCAAACGCCCACCACCTGCCTGATCTTTCTCCTCCCTCCAGCACTCTGTGGAATTGATTTCCCACCTACAAACAGGCAGCATCTACACTCCAGCCTCTACCCACACATAGACCGTGTCTCCTATAAGCCTGATGTCTCAGATCTCTGGGCGCGGGCTTCCCTATGGATGCCAGGACTCCCCGAATGGGCCAGTTTACCTAAGTAGGTGTTGTCCTTCTCATACAGTGCTATGATCTCCTGCCAATCCTGAGCAGGAAGAAAAGGAGAAAGTAAGCCAGAAAAGCACTCACAGCCACATCCCAGCCCAGTCCCTGAATAGGGGAGGCTCTCTCAGTCTTCACATCAAATCAAATACACGCTCCATGTCCTTCAACTCCTAACCTCACTGGACCACCCACTTCATTTCAAGAAGGTGGCGCCAATGAGCAATCCCAAAGCAGTGGGTCTGAAAATTTAAACCTGGGGGCAGGATCTACTTTTGGCACAAACTACAGAGACAGAAATTTTAGGAAACATTCTGTGTAGGCATTTCCACCAGATCCTCAGAGAGTCCAGAGAGGCTCTGACCCACAGACTGGATGTCCCCAGCTGTACCTTACCGGCCCTCACTCCACACTTGCCTTCATCCGCTGTGAAGAGTACCGGCCAAAAATATTTTTCGTGGATGCCTCAGTGCCTTTGAGAAGGTCCACGATTCTTAGGCAGTGGAAGTAGTGAATGTCTGGAAAGCAAGGAAGAGCAAGGACTCTGAGAATTACAACACAGTTGTCCCTCACTCTCCATGGGGGATTGGTTCTGGGACCTCCCATGGATACCAAATCCATGGACACTCAAGTACCTGATATAAAATGGCATAGAATTTGCATATACCAACACACATCCTCCTGTATACTTTAAGCCATCTCTAGACTACTTATAATACCTAACACAATGCAAATGCAAATGCTATGTAAGTAGTGGCTATACTGAATTGTTTAGGGAATAATGACAAGAATAAAAACCAGTACATTTCAATAGAGATGCAATTTTTTGTTCGAATATTTTTGCTCTGCGGTTGGTTGAATCCATACGTGCAGAACCCATAGATACGGTACCTTCCTCACCTACTCTGGCCACTGCAGGGGTGTGACTCATGTATACTACACAGCCAGTAATTTTAGCATGGAGCTCTGACCTTCATCATTTTGTTTTGGAAGAAACCAGCATCTATACCCCAAATAAAAATCTTTCTTTCTCACTAGGGGTCAGCCCTGGTGGCTAAACAACAAGAGAGCAGTTCAGCTGATACATACTGCTCCAGGAGAGAGGGGATGGAGGGACATAGCCCTAAAGCACTCACAGGATCCAGAGAGCAGCTGGGCAATCTCTTCACTCTCTGGCATGTCCTGGATGGCAGCATTGATCTTCTCTCGGATTGTCAGCACCAGACTCTGCCATTTCAGGTTGCAATGCCTTCTGTCCACTAGCCAGTCTACAAGAGAAACACCCAAATCACAGCATTCCCACTCATGCCATCAACACTCCGTTACTCATTCAAGTGAAATACACTGAGATATGAGCTAAAGGTTACATCGGTTAAGGCACAGGGATCATGGGAAGATGGGAATAAAGGCAGGCCCGAAGAGATGCTTGGTGCTAAACAGACTCTGACAATCTGACTTCATCTGCAGTATGATTTTTATAGAGCAAGTGCCTCAACACAGAAATAAAGAAAAACTTTAAATTGGTCCTGACTTGAAAGTGCCACTTTTTTTTTCAAAGTGCCATTTCGACCATTCTAAATTCTCCATAATATTTTTGCTTCTTTGGGTAATTATATCTTTCTTTTTTTTTTTTTTAAAAGATAACCGGTAAGGGGATCTTAACCCTTGACTTGGTGTTGTCAGCACCACGCTCAGCCAGTGAGCAAACCGGCCATCCCTATCATGGGAAGATGGGAATAAAGGCAGGCCCGAAGAGATGCTTGGTGCTAAACAGACTCTGACAATCTGACTTCATCTGCAGTATGATTTTTATAGAGCAAGTGCCTCAACACAGAAATAAAGAAAAACTTTAAATTGGTCCTGACTTGAAAGTGCCACTTTTTTTTTCAAAGTGCCATTTCGACCATTCTAAATTCTCCATAATATTTTTGCTTCTTTGGGTAATTATATCTTTCTTTTTTTTTTTTTTAAAAAGATGACCGGTAAGGGGATCTTAACCCTTGACTTGGTGTCAGCACCACACTCACCCAGTGAGCAAACCGGCCATCCCTATATGGGATCCGAACCCGGGGCCTTGGTGTTATCAGCACCGCACTCTACCGAGTGAGCCACGGGCCGGCCCAATTATATCTTTCTTGCTGACAGAGGATGCTGTCCAGCTTCCACTTCCTCAGGCTGGGATTAACCATGACAATGGAAAATACAAGATGATTATGCCAAGTACTGAATGAATGAACAAATGCAAAGCCCCTAATACCAACAGCGTCCTAAGGACTAGATAACACTGGTCTACTTTTAACAGTAAGGTACCACCCTGCACATATGCATACCAGTGGCTGCCCTCTCAGAGACTGGGCCCACATTTGTGGCTTGAGAGCCATGCACGTTTCCTCAGTAGGAGAGAGCAAAGGACTAGGCTTTGTGGTTAGGTGGTTCTGGGTTCTAATTATCAGGTTTCTGGGGCAAGTCTCTCAACCTCTCTGTGCCTCAGTTTCCCATGGAAAATGGGCATAATATGACACTGAGTACAGAGGGGAATTAGGTAAAGCACTGAGTACTGTGCCTGGCACATGGCAAAGACTCAATAAATCTTAGTGATCTTCATTTTTATAATGTCAGCTGCCTACAACAGCACCTGGTATGGAGCAAACCATTAATGAATGGTTGTTGTTTTATTGGTCCTTTTCGTGACCAAGGACAAGCTCACACACCAAGAGTACACATGCGCTGAAGAGGTGGGACAATCTGAAGGGAAGTTAAAGAAGCTCCACTGGTGGCCACTGCATGGGATGGACTAAATGGCCCCATATAGTGGTGAATTCAGAACCTTGGCCCTTGTTAATAAATCTGCCAACTGGTCAAACATTGGGTCTCACAATAGTATCAGTTACACTCCCTCCGTTGTATTCCTCTCAATTTTTCAGAAAGAAAAATTCAGTCAATATCATAGAACCAGAACCAAAGGGCTGAGACAGCAAACAGCGTCTTAAGGACAAGACTGGCATCAAACCCATGAATCCAATGAGCATTTAAAAATGCTGGAAGGGTACAGCCGGCCCGTGGCTCACTCGGGAGAGTGCGGTGCTGATAACACCAAGACCACGGGTTCAGATCCTATATAGGGATGGCCGGTTTGCTCACTGGCTGAGCGTGGTGCTGACAACACCAAGCCAAGGGTTAAGATCCCCTTACCCATCATCTTTAAAAAAATAAAAAATAAAAATGCTGGAAGGGGCTGGTGGGTTAGCTCAGTTAGTTAGAGTGCAGCCTTATAATTCCAAGGTCATTGGTTCGGATCCTGGTACCCATTAGCCACAAAAAAAAAAAAAAAAAAAAAAAAGGAATAATAATAATTGTATCAACTATGTCATAATGAAAAATAATAAAATAAAAAAATAAATTAAAATGCCGGGAGCTGTGCATATGCCCTGGCACGGTCAGAATGAAGAGGCCCTTCTTTGGCTCTGAACTGGGGAGGAGGTCTGAAGACCAGATGCAGACAACCTGGAGAGGTCCTGGCCACTAAAAGAGCTTTTTTTCCAACTGGGTCTAATGTCCCTCTTCCTCCTAAAATCAAGGGGGAGATGGAATCTTTTAAAAAGAAAGGAGGGATAGTTTTTATTGGCATACTGCAAAAAGCATGCCCATTGAGCCGAACAGACTTAAAGTTCCACTTTCAGATCTGCCACTCAGTAGTTGACCATCTTTAAAGCAAGGCATCTATCCTTTGTGCCTGGATGATATCATATTATCAATGTTAAAGAAGAAAACGTAGGTTTTTCAAGTACAGACTCTGTACAAGTACATGGTTCCTTCCCGCTGCTCTCAGAAGCATGTCTGCCCACAGATGGGGCACAGAACAAGGCGAGTGGTCGGCGCCTCAACCCAGGCCTCCAGGTGTCAGAGCTCCCGGCTGTTGGTGACAGGGGCCGAAGAACAGGCCTCCCCCCCGACAGCCGGCTGCGTGAGTGCATCCCCTCCTACCGAGCAGCTTGCTGGTCTGGATGTCGATGGGCACGTGCTGATGGTCCTGGAAGGAGACACGGTGGGGAGGGGGGCGTGAGCGCGGGGAGGGGACGCGCCACTCGCGCGCTCATTTCACGGTCCCAACCGCCACCCTGCGGGGCCAGAACGACGGGTCTGGAGGGCCGCGCCCCGGAGTAAGGCCGGAGACGAGGGTCCCCAGCCGACCCCAGTTCCCCCAGCTCCTGTCCTCACACCTGCATCTTCCTCCACTTCCGCTTCCGGCTGGAGACCCGGGCCTGCCCCGCCCCGCCACCAATCCAGAGCCGGCGTGGCTGAGCCTCAGTTTAGACACAAACAGGCTTCCCTCGGCCACGTCGCCGCCTTCCGCAGAGCCAACAGGGGCGCAAGCTCCACCCCCTGGCTGCAAGCCCCGCCCACCAGAGACTCCGTATGGCTGAAGCTGAGCCGGGGGGCGGGGAAACAGAGGACAGCCAATGGGTGACGCGAGGCGGGCTCAGGGCCGGGAAGGGGCGGGGG